AGGTGATTGGCACACATTTGAAAACTCTTGAGGAGAAATTCTTTTATTTCAGTTCAGCTTTCACCGAATGTCTTCACTAGGTTAGGGACCCATTCAGCTTCAGAATCCAAGAGGAACTCACTGAATTGAAACAAGATCTAAACTAGGTTGAACTTCTTTTGATAATTTTCTGCATGAGCATTACTGCCTTTCAGGGGATAACATCCAGTACCTGTGCAGAACGCTGGGCCCCCAAAATTCAGCACAGAACAGAACAAAGCAATTTACTGTTGCAAAGATGATCTGTGCTGGACTAAGATTCATTTGCTTGTGGTACGTTCCTGTATGAGGAAAGAGATGCTGACAATCTTGGTAGACACTTATGCTGCACCATCAGAAATGTGCATTTGGCATTAAAGGATAAAAACACATCTTCATAACTTTCACCAGTCACAGAAGAATGAACTACATCGAGGGAATCTACACAAATAACATCTCCTATGTTAAACAACCACAACAGTCCAATCTGGGAGAACTTGGAAGGTGACATAAATGCTCCATTTAAAGCTTTTGATTATCTATTATGACTCACATTAAAAAAACATTTGGCAGCATTTACATAAAAAAGCAAACATCTGCCCTTTTACTCAAGGAAAAGCCTCAGTGTGGAATAACCCAAAAATAAAAATAGAAGGGGAAATGATGTTTTGGAAGAGTTGGCATACAAAAGGGATTGACAGTATAAACTGCTTCTTCCTAAATGATACCTTACTGTCATTTCAACAATTTGAAGAATTATACAAACCACAAAGACTTCTGAAAGTACCTACAAATAAGGGACTGCCTCACAAAATTAAACAAACCTGAGGTAAGAACACTCACGGAATCACCACACTATGCTTAATAAATTGAAAGGCTCCCCAAGATGAGTACTTCAGATTTATAGCTACCTGACTGAGAAAACCTGCAACATTAATACAGGACTTTAAAAGGTATCGGAATCAGTATTAAACAATGAGTTCACAGAGGAGCAGTGGGGTGCAATAGTCAAACAAATGTTAAAACCCATAAAGGATGCATGCTCCAAATTGATACAGTTCGAAATTCTAAACCGAATATATGGGACACTAGTTAAATCATTTAAAGCAAGAATAAGTGACTAATATCTGCTGTCGATGAAAACAAAGTCCAGGAGACATGCTTCAAATGTTCCTCATGTGTCCGAACCTGATTTCTTATTGGTAGGAGGTTATGGGGAAAATTAACAGCACCCTTAACTCCAAGTTACTCTTGACACCTACACTGGGGCATCTTAACTTCTTAGATGATATGTTAAGCTATGTTAGCTCTCACCATGGCAAAGTGAGTTATATTAAAACACTGGAAAGGACAAAATACCCTACCTATACAGAACGGTATGTAGCACTTTCAGAGACCAGATCTTATAAACGACTCATCCACAAGATAAACGGTCAAATTGAGGCGTAGCAGAGTACGTGAGAGGAAAAATCAGAGATATAAGGCTCAAACAATATTGGTCCAGAATAAAGGATGCAGTGTGTATGAATTTTTTGTTATTTTTTTATGTACTGTTTTTTCTTTGCTTTAGCTTCCCCTGCTGGCTGGGGTTGGGGGAATACGGGAGGATCAAGACGGGATTGGGGAGGAAAATTTTTAAAACTCAAGTTCTTCTTTGTCTAACTAGTTAATGTGTACTTTACAATACCCATATTGTCAATGTCGGTTTTATTGTATGTTTATGAGTTGAATGATTTAATAAGCATTGAAAAGAATTTGAAAAAGGAGGGAACGTATTATTTAATTTAATTATCTACAGTGTTGCACATAACACGATTTAGGCTACACATCACAAAAGAAATTGGTAATGTTTCTGTTGTCCTGAACCCTATGCACATTAAGGAAATATGCTGCTTTTGAGCATGTAAAGGGGATTTTGAATGTCATAATAAAACAAAAATAGCGATAAATAAATAAATAAATCATATCTGCTATTTAATAATTTTTTTCAATGCCAGATGCTTTTCATGAAGTACCTGGTATTTAATCTAGAGTCTTTTGTATTGCAGGTAAATCCTTGAACCTTCTACCCACACCTGCTCCCAATCAGCTGATGAGCTCATTCTTTGTTCTTTCTCCCATATACAGTATATACAACTTGTACAGTTCCTTACTGCTGGATTCTCTTCATTGTTTTGCTCCTCATGTGTTGTTCTCCCTGGCGTCTCCTGCTTTTGGTTTCTTGTCTATTTTTTCTGGATTTGTGCCTCTGTTTTCATCTGCATTTAAATTGAATCAGCAGGAACTCGTCTCTTCATTTGGGTCCTCAAGTAACTCCTTAAATTAAGGTATTTTTCGGTTGAGAGAATGTTTGGAAATGTGTATTTCATATTGTGTAGACTTCAGTGATGGGCAGTAGCGCTGCTACATGTAGCAAAGCTATTAGTTTAATTACATTTTCCAGTAACTTGACCATAGTGTCGCTGCTTTATTTATCAAGTAACTTTCCAGTAGTGACGTAATTGTTTTTATCATATAGCGACATAGCGTCCAGAAACGCTACAAAATCCAGGGCAAAACTAAGTAATGAAAGCAGGTTTTGTAATTTTGAAACAACAATCTGAGTTATTCATTGGACATTCACGCATGAGCCTCTATTCTGCCTCTCCTGTCTGTGTCTACGAAACATTGCGCACGCGCACTGCAGTGGACCTCAAAGAAAGACACACAGACACACGCAGATACACAGAGCCACACACACAGGATGGAGGAGGAGACAGGAGCAGATCGAGAAGAGCAGCCAACTGTCCATACTACACCGTGGCCTTATCTTCAGAGATTTTCAAACTTGTTGAATCCTCTGATAAAAAGTACATGTTCAGATGTTTTAAGGCTTATTTGCCCAGATAAGATTTTTTAGGTATGGAGGAACAGCTCTCCCATGTATAAAAATATATACATAAATAAATACATGCTCAATAATAAATAAGCATTCAATTAATTACCCCCCCAAAATACAATGAATAAATATGTGGGTAGAAATTAAATTATACAGTGAGACATAAATGTATATTTATCTCTTAATTAGCTTCTTTATTTTTTCACCTTTTTTGTAAACAGTTTCATTTGTTACTTGAATCGACTGTTTAATTGAGGTCTGAAGAAGTTTTCTCTAAGGGAGACCCTAAAGAAATAAGATGCCTTTTGTAGGGTTTTGTTTTCCCTAGAGATGTCCATTGAATGCAAACTCATAGCCATGTCTCCATGTGTAGAACACTACACAGTACCTTTAATTTGGTTCTAATAACAGCAGATTGTTTACTAGTTTGTCTACTAGTAAATACTTTAGTTTTTTTTATTATGCTGATCATAAAGCAATTTTTACACTGTGTTATGTCATTGGCTGATCTTTAATAAATATTTTAACCAGTGTATCAGACTAATTTTGAATTGATATTAGGTTGGTACAACGTTAAGTAGCTTCTGATGTAGTTAAGCTACTGTTAACACTTTAGTGTAACTTAGCTTGCTATAATTCTTTAGGTGGTAGCTTTTGTGTAGTGAAGCTTAATTTATTGTTGAGTAACTGATAGCTTAGCTCACTACACTGGACAAGTAGCTTGCCCAACACTGGTAGACTTTCAGTTGATCTGCTTTTGTTTGCTGAATCGATAAATCTGTGATAGACCTCTTTGGCTCTTAAAACCTACAGACCTACATTTAACTTAATTACTAATACAGTTACAGTACTTATACAATTACTTATACATGGTGTAGCTACCATGTATAAGTAATTGTGGAGCCTGGCGTGACCTTTGTGAAATGGATGAATCCAGCATGCACTCCACATCACGCTAGGTCGGACCTTGCTCTATCTGTCATCCTGGAATTTCTGATTTCAGCTTTTCCGAAACAGGCCTCTGGTGCTAGATAATGTGGAGCCCTATTAGTAAATATTTGGCCTCAGTAACAAATCGAAAAACATAAAACCATTCCTATTTAAGATAGATGGGGCCTTTACTATGATCCAATTTCTTTTTTTAAAAATTTTTAGTCAGATAAGGAAATAGAGATTGTTGAAGGAAATATTTAAAACAGAGAGAAGAATGATTTACTTACGTTATTTTAGACCGGAGTCTTTTTCTTATTATTTGTATCACTCATAAAAAATGTATCACTAGCGTATGTCTCTCTATTTTGTGAAAATTAATAAATTTTTTCTTATTGGTTGCTGTTTAGGTAACATTATAACCTTCTACTGATACACAGGATAGGAGATTTCTATAGTTTGTTTAAATTTGTGTAATGAGTGCCTGAATTTAAAATCCTAACTTTCTAACCTTTTTCCATTTGGGCACAGCTGTTTTTATAAGGTGATCAAGCAAGGCTTTTTTTTCTGGTTTAGAACGCAAGATAAATTGTTTATTTTTCCGCACAGGTTTTACAAAGGCAGAGATAATCTTGACAGTTCTTTCATGCTTTGATTCTCCCTTGTGGGTGCTGTGTCTTCATTTGTGTCTTCACAGATGCACACAGTATTTGAACAAATGTCATGGGACATGAGTTTTCTAATTTTATCGGTTTTGCAGACTTCAGTCTCCTGCTTATCTCCATAGATACTGAACCACAAAGGATGTTGAGTTTGTATTTTTGTGCGTTTGCTGTCAACTTCAGTTTGACTCACAAAAGTTGTTTCTGAGAAATCTGGCATATAGGGAAGCGTACTTCTGAGAGGGACTGAGCACTATGAACAACACAATGAGCCCCAACCTCTTTCATATTTTAAATGTCTCAAGGTGTAACTTATCAATTTGTCTATTGCCCCATATAACCAGAAAATACTTTTACATTTCCCCCCATACTGACACCCCGCTCCTAGTCTTTACTCCATCCCCCATCTCTTTGCCTCCCTCCCACTGTTTTTCCTCATTCTCTCTCTCTCTCTCTCTCTCTATCTAAAGAGCACTCTCTGGCTGTGCTTCACTTCATTTTCCACCCAAACATGTTGGAAATGAGAGAAGGAGGAGGATGCTGCGCTCTACCCTTGGTGCGTTCTTTTCGGTCAGCACGCACTGCCTCTGACTCAGGCTCAACCTCAGCTTTCAGTTGTCTTCGGCTAAAGGACTTAAGAGAAGAGGTGGAGAAAGAAACAAACAACAAACTGGAGCTCAGGAGTTCTCACTACAGCTTCTCAAACAGAGACAACAGCAAGAGAAAAAAAGAACAGGACAAATATTGCCCCTCTTCTGTGGAGGAAACTACTAACCCCTCAGTGGTCACCACCACACCTTCTTCGGGTTTCAGTGCTTCTTTTTCAACCCTGTCCGCTCCAAGGTCTATGTGGCAAGAGGCGATGAAGAGGAAACGGTACCTCCTTGACCGGGCAGGGGTGTCTGGTGAAGTGGATAAAGGAGGTGGTGAGGGGAAGAGGAGCAGGTCCCCGGACTGGCTATATGAATCCTACTACTGTATGAGCCAGCAACATCCTCTCATTGTGTTTTTGCTTCTCATAGTGATGGGAGCCTGCCTGGCTCTGCTGACTGTGTTTTTTGCTTCAGGGCTGGTAAGCTACTCACTCACAACACACACACACACAAATATATATGCATATATATTATGCAAGTGAATCATTTATAACTGAGCAACAATTTAGGACCACACACCCAGGTGTGTGGCATTTTCTTTTTATTAGGACATTAAATGGAAATGCAGAAAATTCATATCAGATTCAGCTTTGCAGTATGTGGATAAATAGTTCTTCTGCCCTCCTGGCTTGGTCTCTTGGGGTGAAAAAAAAATCTATGAAACATTTTATCAGGATGAAAAAAGGATATAAGGAAAAAATAAAAGGTCTGTTTTATTAAACATACAAACAGAATCAGTTTGGCAATGCGGAGGCAGCAAAAGTGCACATGCTTGTACAGTACCTGAAATACACCCATCAGCAGTCCTACTCTCACTGCAAATACTCTTCATCGCAGCACTAATGTGAGGTGAAAGGGGAGGATAAGGGGCTTAGTTATTGTATGAGCTTATGGTTGACTCAAAGTTATCTATTTTGCTCTGTCTCTATTTTCCCTCCTCATTTTAAAACATTTAAAATCCAAAGTAATGACGGAGAGTGTATCTTCAACAAATATCAAATTAGAGCAGAAAAAAAGTTGATTAAACTTTCTCTCCTATAAATATTTTTTTTCATTCTTTTGAAGATGCCTTTTTTATTTGATTCAACCTTTGAAAGACGTTAAATACTGACTTAAACAAAGAGGGGGAAAACACTGTTTGATTTTAAATTAATTAAAACATGATTGTTGGATGAGACCTAATTAATATTAGGGTATAAAATGCAAATGTTATGAATTTCATAGGAGACTTTTTAATAAATGTCCTTCTGTACATGAAAATATTGCTGTATTTTTTTTTATCATTGCTAGGACTTGGTACATAAGTAGATCTAAAACAAAGAATTAAAGCCTTATAGTGATGTTTGCTTCTTAATTAACTCTGAGGGGAGAAGAGTAATAAGGCAATAATAAAAGTGTGAAAGTGAAATCATTTGTGGTGGAGCAAAGAACACCCAAACCCTGCAAACAATTCAGTACTTTTTGAAATATTGTGAATCTTACAAAAATGGAGCTGTGTTGGAAAGACTGTTTTCCACTTCATGAGACACATATGGCTAATGAGACTAGACCAGCGTTTTTTTTCCCCCCTTATTACATGTGTGACTTTAGGCAATGGGCCAAACTGACAAGAAATAACCTGCTAATTTAAACTGCTAGTCAATTCTGAAGGATTTAATATCAAATATCAGTTTTGAATTAACTGTCTGACAAGTCATATTTAAATGTTTAATTAAAGCTACCTAATTTATTAACCTTATCCATATCCTTAATGGTTCAATCGTTTGTGTTTTTCTTCTTCATTTAAAGCTGCTCACTTAAATATTTTTCCCCATTACCCTTATTTAGTCCTTTGTCCAATGCCTTCTCTTACTTCCTTATTTCTATGTGTGCCATTCATTTTTACCCTTCATCTCGCTGTCGTTCTGACTGGCTGACCTAAATCCTTTGTGGTTTTAAAGTAGTGCTTTGGGCAAGACGAACACTGTGTGGCTCTCCATAAGCATCCTCTCATACCCCAGTGCTTTGACTGCATGAGAAAAGGGGATAGAAGAGGTTAGAGTGGGAACTGCGTCAGAAAAATCAAGAGGGCAAGTGTGAGGATATTTTATCTTTTAAAAGAATTGGTCATTTCAAAGCTCGGTGGGTCTGTACAAATAAAATAAATGAACACATTTATTTGTCAGAAGCATTCGGACAATAATGTAAAAAATAGTCAAACTCTTTTGAATTAATATTCTGATTCCAAATTTGCATTGACAAGATAAATGTGACAAAGTATATCCATGCTTTTTCACTCCTCCCTAGCAAGAATGACAAAAGGTTGATGAAATGTAACAGAAACATGGTAAAAGTGACCCCTTTTACTGTGCTATTACTTCAGGTCTCACTGGATGGAATTCCTAGAATTTTATCACATTTTCCATAACCAAGTGAGTTGCAGCAGACAGTAGCAATTCATTATTTATGTAGCCAGAACATGCAAGATATTAACCCTAAAATGTTTTCCCCCTTTTATTTTATTGGATACTATGTCTAAATGGCTTTCTTTATATTTTAAATGATGGATATTCAACATAAAAAAAGCACATTTGCACATCTTAAACAACAAAAACGACTGCACATGAGCAGCAAATTAGTTGAAATCAACATGAGTCCTCCAGACCAGTAGGGGGAGACGGTCATATAGTGTTATGGTACAAGCACATAAACATTACTACAAATTAATGTCTGTTTTTTCTATGGGTTTGGCCCTTAGACAAAACATGAGTGGGATGTAAACCCCAAGGTAATTTGAGGTCAGTTTTTTCTCCACTTTTTTTTTTTTTTTTAAATCTTATTGTCTCTGAGCATTCCATTGAACTTGTGATCGTCTCCACCTAGTGGTAGGCATATGACAAAAAAAATTCAACATCACTTAAAATGAACACTTAAAAAAATACCCAAGAATATTGTTATAAGATAAATATTAATGAAGTTATCAAAATTTAAAAATCACAAACTCGAGGGGCTAATTAGGCCTTTGCCTTAGTACAAAAACAATAGGAACACTTGTAAACACCTTCAACAACTTTTCACCAGTTATTGCTTATGCCTTCAAAAATAATTAGCTCATTGACATTTTCAGGACTTATAAATTGTACAATCTACTTTCTGTATTCCAAATGAAAAGCAAAAAACATAATTCTTAATTCATTAATCACCAATTCTAATTACTCATCGGCATCAACCGATATAGTGGAATATGCAAAATATACAATTTGAGAGATTAAATTCCATGTTCATAACGTTTTGTGAACTAATCTAATAATGTTATCTAATAATATATACAAAGTTCAATTTAACTTCTCCAATTAAGTAATTAATACTAACTAACAATTAAAAGATAGATTTTCAGTGTTAAATCTGAATACTGTCACGTGATCGAGTTAACAGGGATGTATGCAAGCGGCAATCAAAGATGTGGTAAAAATTATTAAACATCCGCCTTACATAGCATAATGTGAAAAAGCGCAAGACTTTGAAAGAAAAGTATATTAGCCCAATATAGTAATAATTCTGTGAAGATATAAGAGATTTGGCAAGACGTGTTTTGAAGATGAATTGTACAGTAAAAGTGAAAGAGGACACCATTTAGTGATCGGCAAAATTTTTTGCTGAGGCAAGGAAACCATGTGGCAATTGTCAAATAATGCTCAAACTTTACATAAATAAACTGAAATATACGGTCTTAAAGGAGTATATACTAACAAAGAAGAAGTTATTAGCCTTTAAAGCTGAAGTCTGTAAGTTTTTAAAAATCACTTTTTTGTCATATTGGCTAAAACTGTCCCTATGCCCAGACAGCAGTACATGTGATATGTAACCTGTGAAAAAAACTGCTTCAATTGGTACCGCCTACTGCCTGTATTTCAATCTGGAAAGAATAATTCAGGACGAGCCAAAACAACCAATCACAGCCAGAGGAGCGTCTGATGGAGTGTCAATCACAGCTCACACACGCTGAATCCCGCCCCCCCCCCCCCCTTCTGGTCGCATGCGGTAGCCGCGCAGATGCTGTGAGAGGGGTGGAGCTTGGAGGTGGGGCATGAGTGAAGCAGAGAGGGTGGGGGAGTGGCGTAAAACCTGTTTTTCTTCAAATTTTCAGTCGAAGTCTGCTCTCTTCTCAATGTTACAGACTGCAGCTTTAATACGATTTGACTGGCCAAAATTGAGGTAAAACTTTGAAGAATGATAAAAGCGCTTGTAGTAATCGTACAACAGAATTCTGAAAACGAGGTTGCACAGGAAGTGCCGCTGATCATCACGTACCTACTAGTGGTCTGGAGCTCTCCTTTTATACAGAGGTGGTTTATAGCTTTTCTTAACTTTTAAGTTGTATTTGTTGCTTGCATCATTATTGCTTAACATGTGTTTTGTGACTTAGCACAATTTATGTGTTTGCAGCAGGTTTTGTATTATCAGTGCATTTGGTTTTTCTGCTCTATTTTCTTTGATTGGAGCTTTTCTCTTATGTGGTATTTTTTCCTAGCACATGTTTTGTGTTAGTCTAATTTTTGTTTGCAGTGCTGCAACGTTTATATATTTGCAGCGTATACTCTTTAAAAAACGATTCATTAGCTTTTACAGGTTTTGATGATATTTTTGCTTGTTTGGAAATGAACTGTCTGAAAAGCTGTACTAAACGAAATTTTGTTTGTTTACACTATGTATATACAAAATGACAATAAAAGTTGTCTAAAGCCAGTCATACACTGTACGATTTTTTTTTTGCCCTTTCCGGGCCGATTCTCCAGTCACACTTTCAACCTGATCGTGCGTCATGTAGCGTACAGGGGGTAAAGAGGGACGATGGGATTCATGGACTACCTCCCGATCTGGAATCATAAGGTCGGGCGAAAGTCAAACATGTCTGAAATTCAGTTGGCCGTCGTAAAGTTGTTGTGGGCAAGTTGCTAGGTGTGCATGAGCAAATTCTTTTTCCTCTCACACAAAAACACAGAATCATGGCGGGGGTGTGGGTGAAATAGAGTTTTTCTCTAAAATTGACAGACTGTAGTAGCTACATTTGCTCAGCCATGTCTTGTCCAAATACGTCGTAGGATTTTCTTTTTAGGGCTTTAAGCACACAAAATTGCACCAACAGGAGGCATCGACACTTCTGTCTTTTTCCTCTTCTACTCGTTTGGCTTCCAGATAGATGAGTCTGAGTAGCACCATCTCCCTGCAGAGCTGAGTGCCACGTGGTTTTTAGACGTACAGGGTGAGCAGGTAGCATCAGGCCACACAATGTGAGAACATACATCGTGAGCCGTGAAATTAAACCCTGCCTTTTCGTCATACAGTGTGAGCTGCAGCTGCATGCGACAATTGAAACAATCGTACAATGTATGCCCAACTTTAGTCTAAGTTTAACTTGCTGAAACTTATGGTCAAATGTTTAAGATCTCGTCTGTGTTTATCTTTAAACTTTCCTTTTCAGAGCATCGCAGACCATGTTGCCTTTGTAATCACTGTGCCCACAGCACTGGCTATATTCCTGACAGTGTTTGTGCTCGTCTGCATTGAGTCTGTCTTCAAGAAGCTCTTACGTGTTTTTTCCTTGGTCATCTGGGCTTGCTTGGTTGCAATGGGCTACCTTTTCATGTTTTCTGGTGGGATCCTTTGTCCATGGGATCAGGTAAGACATGATTGTAAATGTTTTAGTTCTTTAACATGTGTTTGTGTTTGGTTATAATATTTGATCACTTATTACTATAGATGGGTTTAAAGTTGGGTGATTACTCAGGTTTATTAATTAATAAAATTTTTTGAATTCTTTAATTTTGTTACCCTTTAGGTTAAGGCCCCCTCCCAGAGAGATTAATTTTTTAAGTAAATGTAAATTTTTTTTTTATTAAACTTTAGTAGGGAAAAAAAATCACTCTGTCAGATTTGGTAGGAAAAAGGGAGAGGAGATTTTAAGCTATATTGCACAGCCTCAGGTAGGTTATGAAGAAATTAAGGCCCAAATGAGTAGATAAGTTATGTGAAACTGTTCTTAATCTTCCAAAATCAAATGAATTACATTAAAGTGAAGAAAATAATGATCAATTAAGAATACATTACTGGTAAAAAAAATGGAGTTAAGAAATAAAAACTAAAAAAAAAAAAAAAAAAAATCCAAGTTGAATATATTTTTTTTAAGTGAGGGGGGCACACAGAAGGGTTGATATATGTCCATCCTGTCGTAGGCATTCATCTGCAACACAGTTCTCTGGTGAAGGGACTTTCTTGGCTAAGATGAAGAAATCCTGCATTGCAGGTTGTAATCACAGACTCCTGTAGACTAGCCCTAGACTTGCAGAAGCCACATATTTTCTTCCTGCTGTAGCATATTCCACTGCTGCTGACTAACTTTCTATTCCAGCACTGGGGCTTTCTTGTCACCTCCTGTTGCTGAGCTATGTAACTCGCCTCATGCATATTCACATTCTGCGTTCTACAAATTAGTAATTTCTCACACTATCTGCTGATTTACAATTAGCTAACAGAGACCATAAAGAAAGCCATTTGTTTATAACGGATAAAGTTTTTTTTTTAGTTTACATAAAACAAAAGAAATTCTCTAAATATTTCAAATGAAAAGCACACAAATACAGAACAGGGTGAAAATAAATGTGCAGTAAAATTAAGCACTCTCTCTTTGCATCATTATGTAAGCGATGTTGTATAAAGATATCTTGATACAAAACTTCACAGGGCCAGTGTGCATAAAATATCTGTGAATATATAATAAGACGTGCAGTATTTTTTTGGTGATCAAAAACTAAATGTATGATATCAGCAGCATAGCAAATCTTTGTGCAGAAAAAATACTAGCCTTTACCCAAGAAATCTTCTTTTATCCTCTGAATATGGTAGATTAGCTGAACTTTCCATGAGATTTGTACTGTACATTTTTTTATAATTAAACTGTGTACCACACTTACCATTGCTCCATTGCATCTAGAATTACAGAGAAATAAAAATGGCAATAGAGCTAGGTTCGTTGATCCCACAACCACAAGCATTCTGCACCACAGCTTATTGAAAACATCACAGTACATTAGGTCTTCATCATGTGAAAGCTGTACTCGTTCAGCAGTACTTACCTTGATATATGTCTGGTTTGGACTCATTTATCACAAAGAAGTAGCTAAAGATGCTCTGATTCAGACACTTCTCCATTCATTACTTTCTTGTGCACACTGCAGATGTTAAGCCATTATACTACCTCTGGTCTCCTCTGCAGCTTCTCAGCAATATCAATTACCACTTTCTTAATACATATTTTTTCCTAGGGACTGCAGTCTTTTTTTACTCGGCTGTTGAAACTTTATAGGTTAAGGGAAATGACTCATTAGCCTTTTCATCTCAGTGCATAGTATTTATTATTCTAATTATCCACAGATGAGATGGGGGGGAACTGATTCATGTATCATTGAAAATAATGTGCGTCACATATCTTCAGGCAACCAGTAATGAAAAAGATTTAAATAATACATACATGCTCTTTTCCAATAGCTCAGGCGATGTTTAAGGCCTCCTTTAGGGCATACTAGTCAGTATAATAAAATTAATCCTTCATCATATCTAAAGCAACTAAAAGACTACTATCTTTAAGATCTTTACATCTCTACACATTTCGTAATTTAAGTGTATATATATATATATATAGATATATATATCCATTTGATCTGTCACAGAGCCTATATTGTGAAATAAACATGAACAGGGAGAATGGTTATAAACCTCTAAATTGATTTGCTATGTGAAAGGTACTGTATCTTTAGTTGACAAATATTTGTAATACTGCTTTGCATGCTAATAAAGCAAAGGGAACTTTGAAGGTTTCATAACCCACTATAGCTTTACATAAAAAAGTAGTGATACATTCAAAACTCTACTAAGGAATTTCTCAGTATAAAATGTACAATGTCCCATGTGCACAGGTTATCAGCAACGTTCTGACCCTCAACTGTTGGCACCCTTATAATTTTTTTAAAAGTGCTTTGCAGTTCCAACCATATGCAGGACCAACTCTGCCATATTTAAAAATAAATACAGAAATAAATAAATGCTCAATAAATGTATAAGCATACAATTAATTGCCAACAAAAAAGTGAGACATAAATGTATATAACTCTTAATTAGCTTCTTTATTTATTTGCCTTTGTAATATTTACCTTATTTATTTTTCTGTCCTTTATAATCTTCAACTTTATTTTTTAATTACTTATATTTTTAAGTATTTATTTATGTGCATGTTATAATATTTTTGTCTGTTTTATTCTTCCTTTGTATTTTTTTACCTTAGTTATTTCTTCGCCGCTGTTTATTTCTCTCTGCCCTTTTTACATTTCTCTCTGCCCTTTTTACATTTCTCTATGCCCTTTTTACATTTCTCTCTGCCCTTTTTACATTTCTGTCTGCCCTTTTTACATTTCTCTATGCATTTCTGTCTCATTATGCAAACGAGGAGGGGGTGTGTCCTAGAGAGTCAACTTCTGCTCATTGGTTGGCTTGGCGGCCCATCTTCTTAACTCACAGAGCTCAGAGTACTAAGTTAAATGTTCTCTTTTCTGTTGCTGTTGTTCAATTAAAGTATGTTTTAAGATCATTTGAGGCGAGAACCTTATACATTTAATCATCACCATATGGCCCATTCACAGATTTAATGCGTAATTTAAAAGAAAATGTGACAAACTTGAGAGGACCGTGGCAACCAGCGGAGCTCCGAAGCTGACGGCAGCCAGGTCTATAGCCAGGCTATGATGGCGATTTTTTGTTGTATTTGGCAAAGTTTGGCAAAGTCCCTACTCAAGTTCTAATGACTTCAGACTCGACATCAGACTCTCCTCCTGTAGATTCGACCGATGTAGTAAAATGCTAACCAACACGCTTCACACACGGCTATGCCGAGAGAGGGCCGCTGCAAATGGGCTGTGGTTAGACCTGGCTGCTGTCAGCTTCGGAGCTCCGCTGGTTGCCACGGTTGTCCTCTCAAGTTCGTCACATTTTCTTTTAAATTACGCATTAAATCTGTGACTGGGCCATATGGTGATGCTTAAATGTATAAGGTTCTCGCCTTAAATGATCTTAAAACGTACTTTTATTGAACAACAGCAACAGAAAAGAGAACATTTAACTTAGTACTCTGAGCTCTGTGAGTTAAGAAGATGGACCGCCAAGCCAACCAATGAGCAGAAGTTGACTCTCTAGGACACACCCCCTCCTCATTTGCATAATGAGACAGAAATGCATAGAGAAATGTAAAAAGGGCATAGAGAAATGTAAAAAGGGCAGAGAGAAATGTAAAAAGGGCAGAGAGAAATAAACAGCGGCGAAGAAATAACTAAGGTAAAAAATACAGAGGAAGAATAAAACAGACAAAAATATTATAACATGCACATAAATAAATACTTAAAAATATAAGTAATTAAAAAATAAAGTTGAAGATTATAAAGGACAGAAAAATAAATAAGGTAAATATTACAAAGGCAAATAAATAAAGAAGCTAATTAAGAGTTATATACATTTATGTCTCACTTTTTTGTTGGCAATTAATTGTATGCTTATACATTTATGGAGCATTTATTTATTTCTGTATTTATTTTTAAATATGGCAGAGTTGGTCCTTCATACAACCATTTAGTTGTGCTCAAAATTATCATATCACTGTCAGCTACTGTTTGGGTAGTGGCATCATCTGTCAGAGAATACATTTATGAACTAGTATTTTCTAGAGTTTAGTAAATCTTTGCATTATCGGCACAGATGTTAATGACTACTTGAACAGTTTTTGTTGTTTTTTATTTATTACCTGCATAATTTTTTTTACAACCATATTTATTTTGACTTTTCCATCTTTCTTTTAACTGGTTTCTGTTGTTTTTATCTTTTTATTAATGGCAGCACGGACTTATTTTATTTCAAGATGTTTTATCTTCTGCAGTACAACTTAAACATTTAAAATATTAAATTATTCAGCTGTGTGTCTGTGTGCCTGTTAGCTTTCTTTTGTCTTCTTGTTTTCTCACTGTCAGACTCAGATTTTACACTAGGTTTATTGTGTATATGAGCACTTTTATAGGAGGAGAGCTGTAGGTGATGGTAGCTTTTCCTCACATGTTCCCCGGTTAGTGTCCCTTGGTACTGCTCCATGGCTTCCTTCTCTCACCTTGTCCAGGGTGCTTCGTCTAGGTGCCATTAACCCTTTTTGGCTCTCTCCTTTCACTCTGCAATAGACTTGGCAGCAGGCGATGCTGTTACATTTTGGATTGCAAGGCTGCCTTATTATTGATGACCCGCCCACATTTGGATGTTTTTCAGCTGTTTAATTTATTTATTTTGTTAAATTTTACCTCATAACAGAAAAAGGAAACAATATTCCATAAACAGTTTACACAAATAGGGTGGGAGGTAAACAAAGGCTTATATTTGCCCACCCTAAGAAGAAAATATCATCCATCCATTTTCTGTCATGCTTATCCCTGCTGGGGTCGCGAGGGGTGCTGGTGCCTAACTCCAGCTGTCGGTGGGCGAGACGCGGGGATAACCAGAATGTATTATATAAAAGCCTTTTGGTACATTTTACAGATTCAGTTTGTGATTTGATATTATTAAGACCAAATCAAGAATTGTTTTGGAACACAAGCT